GAGTCTCTCCATCTCAGATCCATGGCGGATTCTCCCGGACAGAGTATCGCTCAGCCAGGGGTTGATCACCCATCCGGATCCCCAATGGCTCCAGTTAGCCGTTTGGCACTTGAGCGCTCTTACTTATCACAACAGTCTTGTTCATTGAAGGTAATTGAGGTAATCCAGGCTTCCCGTCGCCCTTCTACGAACCGCATTTATGAGGCCACGTGGAAAATTTTTTGTGATTGGGGCTCCAGGCGTCACTTGTCGCTCTCGCAGCTCACTATTCCCCATGTGCTGGAATTTCTGCTGGACGGCCTGGAAAAGGGCCTGGCCCCTAACACCTTACGCAGGCAAGTGGCTGCTCTTTCTACTGTCCTCACTTGTGAGTCCGTAGGCTCCTTAGGACACCACCCGCTGATTCGCTCTTTCCTTAAAGGAGCAGCCAACTCCCGACCACCTACAGTGCATAGGTACCCTTCCTGGGAACTGCCTCGTATACTCCGGGCCCTAATGAAGTCACCTTTCGAGCCCTTAGCGACCTGCGACGTTTGCCACTTGTCCCACAAAGTGGCTTTCTTAGTGGCCATTACGTCAGCTAGACGCATCTCCGAGCTGGCGGCTCTATCGGTCCGCAAGGACCTATGCATGTTCCATTCAGATAGAGTGGTACTTCGCCTTGATCCCACCTTCGTTCTGAAGGTGAACTCACTTTTTCACAGGTCCCAGGAGATTGTCCTCCCGGATTTTTGCCCGAACCCTTCGTGTACCCAGGAGCGACAATGGCATTGCTTAGATCTCCGCAGGGCGCTCCGTTACTATATTTCACGGACAGCAGATTTCCGTAAGTCAGAGGCCCTTTTTGTGTCCTTCCACCCTTCCTCCAGGGGTCGGAAGGTCTCCTCTTCCACGATCGGCAGGTGGATCAGGGCTTGCATCGCAGGAGCATATCAAGCAGCGTCATTGCCGGTTCCGCAACGAGTGACAGCTCACTCCACACGGAGTGCATCTACGTCTGCAGCCTGGACCACTCAAGCGTCCATCGAGGACGTATGTAGAGCGGCCACTTGGTCCTCACCATCACAATTCATTCGTCACTACAAAATTGATAAATTTGCCTCGGCGGAGGCCTCCTTCGGCAGAAGGGTCCTCCAACAGGTGGTCCACCAAAGTGTCACTCCCGAAAGGTCTATTTCCCACCCACAGGGATTATGAGCTTTGGTAGGTCCCATTCTGTGGATCCTCCATCTCCAGTGCTGGAGAAGGGGCGTTGTCTTACCTGAACGCCTTTTCTCAGCACGGAGATGGAGGATCCACATCCCTCCCTCATTTTCTAGGGGGTCCTAGTAACTAGGATATTTAGTTCGTGAGCCAGTACGTTCTTGGTCAGTCAATGGCTACGCTCACGTCAAGACTGGGATCTGGAAACCAGGACGGGGCGTGACAACTTTGGCTGACTTGATCTGATTGGGCAGGAATACAGTCTCAACCCATTCTGTGGATCCTCCATCTCCGTGCTGAGAAAAGGCATTCAGGTAAGACAACGCCCCTTTTCAACTATATTTTACCAGTATTTGGTAAAAATAGTACATTATATTTACGAATACAATACTTGCAGTTTGGATATGACTTACCTGTCATTTTCTTAATTTTAATATTGCTGTTACTCAAAATTGGTTCAGGCAATGAATAATGCAAGCCATATTTAAAATTGATTCCCTCCCAAGCCATGCTTTATTAAATTTACATTGCATTTTAAAATTATTTCTCCTTTAAGTCTATTTCCATTTTAAAATATAAGTTAAAATAATTTTTCTTTGAAATCCATCCTTTGTCACCTTTAGACACTTTAGCATTTAATAATAGTTATTCATAGCTCACTTTCTGTCAAGAAACTTCACATTGAGCTGTTTTTTTTTCCTCAGGGGTCTTGGCTGTACTGAAGAGAATAGTTGGAAACAGATTTCTGAGAAGACTAAAGCCACTTCCCATTTATCTAGCCACTCCTAAATTATCACTATTGCAGCCACTCCTTCTTTTGCTGAAGCTTCTAAAAGCTCCCATGCTTACTGTTGCCACAAGACCCATCAGCCATAAAGTCTTCTTATTGAAGAAGGAATCTAATAGTTGCTAAGGCACCAGGTAGAAAGTGGGAGACTGTGAGTTCTAGTCCTATGCCTTAGTTATGAAATCCAGTTGGATGACTTTGGGCCAGTTGCTCTCTCTCAGCCCAATGCCCTTCACAGGGTTTTGTGGGGAAAGTAGGAAGAAGTGTGTTGGATAAGTTTGCTGCCTTGAGATATTTGTAAACAAATAAGGCAGGGTATAAATAAATGTTTCCAGAATTAATTTTTCTTCATCATTGTATCGTTTGCAGAACATGGCTGATATCATATGATGGGGATTGGCAACATGCCACGTAAAACTTCTTTGATGCTATTGACTTTCCAGAATGATATATTTTAGATAAGATTGCATGAAATGTTTGATGTTTTGATTACTTTAAAATTGTTTAATTTCTTTTCAACACCCACAAACTCACATTAGGGTAGCCACTACCTGAAAAAATTGCTGATTCCTCAGCTGTGTTGTGTCGCTTGACTATATCATTCTAGTCATTATTTCAAGGATAAAGCAGGAATAGGAATGATGTGTTGAAGCAGCTGAGATACAAGAAAATACTAGATTTGTGCCTTTTTAGCTCCGAGGAATTTATAAGTATGCATAGCATGAAAAAGGTGTATTTAAACATTTTTTTTCTATCTCAGAATATTAGAACTGCAGGCAGTTCATTGAAATTAAATATGGGGAGATTCCACAACAGTAAAAAGGCACACAGTACTTAAAAATGCTTATTTAAATACACACTAAACTGTTGTACAAGGAGAGCCGTGTTAGCCTATGTGGTGAAAATCTTCCAGTTAACTTTGCAATATTTTGTTGCCAAATGTATTAATGGCCACCACGTTTTAAAAGAGGAGCAAATCTGTGGAGGATACAGTTAGCAAAAGTTACTAATCTTCATGTTAATTTATTCTATAAAATATAAATGACATACTTTGAAATCAATTTTTAGGGAGAAAACTGTAAATTACTTTGTAAATTAGCAGTTAGTAGTTGTGTGACACACAATGGTGGGCTAGATATTGTGCATGACAAATTAGTGAATCAGAGAAATCTATGGATATGGTTTACTTGGACTTCAGTAAGGCATTTGATAAAGTAGACCACAACCTACTACTTAATAAAATAGAAAAATGTGGGTTAGACGGCATCAATACCAGATGGATTTTTAACTGGCTGACCAACCTCGCTCAACGTGTAGTCCTCAATGGAACAGCATCTATATGGAGGCAAGTATGCAGTGGGGTACCCCAAGGCTCTGTCCTATGCCCAGTACTCTTCAATATCTTCATCAATGATTTGGATGAGAGGATAGATGGAGAACTCATCAAATTTGAAGATGACACCAAGCTGGCAGGAATAGCCAACACTCCAGAAGATAGGTGTAAGATTCAGAAGGATCTTGACAGACTTGAACATTGGGCCCTATCTAACAAAATGAAATTAAATGATGAAAAAAGATTCTACATTTAGGAAGAAAAACCAAATGCACACATATACGGTAGTGTAGGTGCTACCTGGCTCAATAGTAGTAATTGTGAGAGGGATCTTGGACTTCTAGTGGAAAGTCACTTATATATGAGCTAGCAGTGTGCAGCAGCTGCTAAAAAAGCCAACACAGTCCTAGGCTGCATTAACAGAGGGATAGAATCAAGATCACGTGAAGTGTTAATACCACTCTATAATGCCTTGGTAAGGTCACACTTGGAATACTGCATCCAGTTTTGGTTGCCACGGTGTAAAAAAGATGTTGAGACTCTAGAAAGAGTACAGAGAAGAGCAACAAAGATAATTAGGAGACTGCAGGCTAAAACATATAAAGAACAGTTGTTGGAATTGTATGTCTAGTCTAATGAAAAGAAGGACTAAGGGTGACATGAGAGCAGCGTACCAATATCTTGGGCTGCCACAAAGAAGAGGGAGTCAACCTCTTTATAAAACCCTAGTAAGACCAGAATATTCTATTCTATTCTACTCTACTCTACTCTACTCTACTCTACTCTACTCTACTCTACTCTACTCTACACTACACTACACTACACTCTACTCTACTCTACTCTACTCTACTCTACTCTACTCTACTCTACTCTACTCTACTCAGCACCTGAAGGCAGGACAAGAAGCAATGGATGGAAACTAATCAAAGATAAGCAACCTAGAACTAAGGAGAAATTTCCTGACAATTACAACAATTAATCAGTGGAACAACTTGCCTCCAGAAGCTGTGAATGCTCCAACACTGGAAGTTTTTAAGAAGAGACTGGACAGCCATTTGTCTGAAATGGTATAGAGTTTCCTGCCTGAGCAGGGGGTTGGACTAGAAGACCTCCAAGGTCCCTTCCAACTCTGTTATTCTGTTCTGTTATATACCTTTAGTTCTAATTTAGATTAGCTCTCCTTATTTTTTAAACGCTCTAATCATGTATGGCCCATATAATGTAGTGTAAGATATTGGACTAGGAATGGGGAGAGCCAAATTGGAATCTACCCTTCTAGCTCTGAATATTCATTGGATAACTTTAAGCTAGCACTCTTTGTGAGCCCAGCCTCCCTCAAAGCTTGTTGTGGGTGAAAAAATTCTAGATCCACTATCTTGAGCTTATAAAAAAAGGGCAAGACATAAATTTGAAAACTAACTAAATAGCAATACACTAATTGCAAAAATGAGAGTATTGGAATATAAAGGCCCTGAATGCTGTATGTGCCCCATGATCTCCAGATTCCTTCTCTAACAGAATGAACTTAAAAGGTGAAAAATAATTGATTTATGTATATGCTATCTTCTACCTTGTGTATAAATTTACTTATGTTTGTGAAGTAGATATAGACATAATTGGATATGCAATTCTTGTAATTTTCCTCTATGTTTTCTTTTTCTCCCCCTTTCTCTCCAGATGTTTGGTCAGCAGGTTGTGTATTGGCAGAATTATTATTAGGACAACCAATTTTCCCAGGAGATAGTGGTGTAGATCAGTTGGTGGAAATAATTAAGGTAAGAGGGTTTTTATTATCTGAACATTATTTTAAAATATAGAACAAACTTATCTAATTTCTTCTTTCTAGTTAAAACTAAATGCGATACCTTTTAAAATAAGGAGCACATATTGTGGAGATAACCAACTGCAATCGTGGTATCTTAACTGATTTTCCAAAAATGGGGAAGTTAATCTTCCATATTCTAGAAGATTGCTCAAGCCAAAAAACCAACAAAAAAACCAAACAAAAAGTAAAAGGTTGAAAATTTCTTAAATTAAAGAAAATTTTATTCTAACCTGGTTACCATTTCTTACTTATATTCAGTGTTTCTATTATGTGATCTTTTGATTCACACGTAAAGAGATTAGGTACCTACCTGAGCCTTTGGAATCTTCTAGAGATAATAAATTTGGAGATGGGGGAAGTCCTTTCCTTTGTCCTTACTTTACATAACTCTAGTGCACGGGTCGGCAACCCGCGGCTCCGGAGCTGCATGCGGCTCTTTGAGCCACCTCCTGCGGCTCCGGAGCCTGCACCGCCATTTGCAGAGAGAGAGAGACAGAGAGGCACTTGCACTTGCACTTCCCTTCTCTCTCTCTCTCTCTCTCTCTCTCTCTCTCTCTCTCTCTCTCTCTCATGGGACTTGCCCCCTCGCAGGGCTCCTGATTGGCCCTGTGCCCGGGTGCCCCGCCCCCTGAGAGAAGGGCAGTCAGGAAATCCCTTTCCCAGGCTGGCTCAGTACGAGGCGCACGTGGCCGAGGAGCTGCGTGGGGAAGCCCCGGGATCCCCCCAGGGAGCGGCCCACCGAAGCCTCCGCTAGCATGGGAGGCTCCAGCATCGCCGGTGGACAGAGCTGACCGGTCGGCGGGCTGTTGCAGCGGTTCCGGCTTGAAGATGCCGACGGTGCAGAAGGTGGCCGGCTCGGCTGCTCAGGGAGCGGCCCAGGGAACGATGCCGTCGCTGGCCGCCGCCCCAGCCGGGACTCCACGCTGCCTAGGCTCACCCTCTGCCCATGGGATGTAGCCACGGCTCCGCTGGGGGGGCTAGTGCAACAACAGGCCATCCCTGGACAATGGTGGCGATGGCGAGCGCTGCTCTGGGGTGCCCAGGCGGCGTAGCAGAGCCGGGGGTGGCAGCGGCAGGCAGGACGCGCAGCATGTCGGGCAAAAGGCTCTCCAGGCTCTTGGCCTGCTGGCAGCGCAGCGCCAGCTGGGCGGCCATGACGCACTGCCACTCTTGTAGCCCTTCAGCCGTGAGAGCACGCCGTGGTTGCAGCAGCGCGTGCAATTGGGCGTCCGCTGCAGGGGCGCCTGGGCCGGCTGAGCCACCGGGCCACCCATGTACAGGTACGGGGAGCCGTAGCCGTTCATGGCGCCCTCTCACCGCAGCCGTTAGATCTGCCTCACTTGCGCCAGGGCCATGCTCGTCCAAACGCAGCGGCGCTTCCCTGGCTCTCTTGGCGCCGAACCAGGTGCTGAACTCGCCCTCAGCTCAAGTGCACCTCAGGCTGGTCTGCGGTGCCCTGGGCACCTTTCAGCGCCTTCTGCTGCCTTCTGCCTCCCTCCCCACCCCTTCGGCGCTGGTGGCCCACTCGCCCCCCCCTCCTGGCTAGAGAGCAGAGGCCCTGACCGTCTTTTACGCTGGCCAGCCCGGCATTCACACGACGTGGGGCGGGGCTGGCGAGAGAGATGCACCTTCCCGGCACAGCGCAAACGCCTGCAGTCCAGGTGGGCATGGAGGTCGGGAGGGGGAGAGGCCGGCTGGACACTCTTGCGGGGTCCCACTTGGCCCTGGTACCGCCTACACTATGCCAGCCGTCCCCAGTGCTGCCTAGCTGAACGCCCGCAGGATCCAGATCACGCCGGGCGGAGTGACTCAGACGGCATGGGAGGCGCAGAGGAGCTGCCCCCAAGTGCTAGGACGGAGGAGGGGACCCCAGTCATTCGCCAGAGTCCCAGTATGTCTTGCTGGGCATGGACCTGATAGGTTTGTTCACCAGGGTCCTGGCTGGAAGAGGGGAGGTCCTGGGCCGGGCTCGCTCTCTGTCTCTCTCTGAGTGCGATTGCAAGCTTGCTGCCTGACCAGGGAGGGGAGAGCTTAATAGGTGCGCGGGGGGGGGGGCGCTCAGCCACCATTCTGGCTGCTGTGCCTGGGCGCCGGGGCCGCTACCTCTTCGTGGCAGCGGCATCGCCTTCCATGCTGGTCCCATCGCAAGCTAGGCACGCCCCTGCACAGTCACGGGAAGGATGGGAAAAGGGGTGGGAAGTGCTGGTGTTGGGGTGGGGGGAGGGAGTTGGGGGAGGAAGAAGGGATCCGTGGGGGTGGGGAGTGTGGGAGGAAGAGTTGGAATCCAAAATGCTCAAATCTGGGTGGGCTCCCAGCAAACGCGTGCCGAAGAAGTGAGGGGAGAAGGAAGAGAGGAAGAGAAACAGCGGGTGGGGAGGGAAGTGCCCCGTTTCTTCTTCTGGTGCAAACTCTGTGCTGAAGCCAGAATGGGGGGGGATGAGGAAGAGGAAGAGTGGCGATTGACAAACTGTGGCAGATTGAAGCCACTTTCTTAGCTTTGTTGTTGGCCAAAAACAAGTCATTATTGTTACTATGTTTCTGGTACTGTAGTAGCTGAGATACCAGCAGATGGGCCGGGTTCTGTCTCTCTCCACATTCACATAGTGTGTTGTTATCTGCTAAGAAGAGCCACAAAGATGATTAGGGAACTGGAGGCTAAAGCATATAAGGAACGGCTGCTGGAATTGGGTATGTCTAGTTTAATGAAGAGAAGGACGAGGGGGGACATGATAGCAGTGTTCCAATATCTCAGGGGCTGCCACAAAGAAGAGGGTGTCAAGCTATTTTCCAAAGCGCCTGAAGGCAGGACAAGAAGCAATGGGTGGAAACTAACCAAAGAGAGAAGCAACCTAGAACTAAGGAGAAACTTCCTGACAGTTAGAACAATTAACCAATGGAACAACCTGCCTCCAGAAGCGGTGAATGCTCCAACACTGGAAGTTTTTAAGAAGAAACTGGACAGCCATTTGTCCGAAATGGTATAGGGTTTCCTGCCTGAGCAGGAGGTTGGACTAGATGACCTCCAAGGTCCCTTCCAACTTTACCATTATTACTATTATTATTATTATTATTATTATTATTATTATTAGCCTGTTTTACATTTAAGCACTCCAACTTTATTTGACTACACCATATAGACAGAATCTTGCTAGATTAAATCTACATTACTCTTATTCTAACAGGATATACTCTGGGAAATTCTAGGGAGTGGCTATCCTAAATCTCTTCCGGATTCTCCTATCCAGCTCTGGGTTATGTTTTCTCTTGTCTCTCTCTCTCTCTCTCCCCCCCCCCCCCTTTGGAATATGTTCCCTCCTTCCTGGGAAACTGCCACTTCACCATCTTGTAATTCTACAGCTAGACCTCTAGGGAAGATACTCCCTTCAGATAAATAACCCTTACCTTTGTGCCTTGAGGATACCCACACAATGAACTCTTACAATCACTGTTAAACTTCTCCAAAATGCGTTTAGTGCAGTCACTCATCCACAATAACTCTCTGTTAAGACTTTGCCATTTTTGTTTGTCCTAAAAAAATGTAAATCATAATTCTCTTCCTCTATAATTCAGACCAATTGCAGAACATCTTCCCATAGTGAAACATACGCATGCACACATGAGGGGGGGGAGAGACACCATGGGACATACATCACAAAACACCCTATAATAACAATGTGCCATGTAGTTGAATATTGAAATCCAGAAAAATAAATAATATTCCATTCCCTTCCTCCAATGTAGTTTCTGACATAGGTCATCCACCAGGACAGCCAAAGCAGTCTCAAACCATATCTCAGATGAAATTCTAATTGAAATTAGTTTGAAATGCACCTGCAGCTGTGAGTCTACCCATTTTTTTCTGTTACCATATTCAGGAACGGACTATTTCATGTGTGTGCGTGTTTGTGTGTGTAATTTTTATTAAGGATTTTAATTACAATAGAAGAAAGATTGAAAGAGAGAGAGAAAATATATAAGGAAATTACTTCCAACCTTCATCACATCTTATAAACATTTTTATAACTCTTGACCCCCTTTTAGTTGATTTACAGCCAATGATCTTTTTATCCCATATCTATAGACAATCCATAAAGCATCATTTTTTTCAGTCCTAGTGTCAGCAGAAAGTTCATTTACGATTTGCATGTCCAGTGTGATTTTTCTCCATGTCATTCTGTCATTTGTAGATTCATTTTCAATGCTATCTCTGCCTTGTCAAATAAAATTGTTCCTTATCTGCCATTTCTTCCAAAACATCTATTGGATGCAGTCTATCCATGTAAGCAAACATCACTATTGCCATCATGGACAGTAACTTCTAATTCCATTTCAAAAGTTTCCTTCAATATATTTAAAATGACTTAGGTCATTTTACAGCTCCCAGCTAATTAGTTGTTAATTGTGTATTTTTCTCCATTAACTACAAACTTTAGTTCCCTCTAGTGTCCAGTTTTAGAAATTGCTTATATTTGTTTTGTAAAAGCCGAAACAAATCTATTTGCATTGGGAAGGGTCCTGTATAATTAATTCCAAAATTTTATTCCAAAGTTATCTGGAACCTTAATCCAGATTTCCAAGTTTATGGCTATCTAGGATCAAAGCCTTACTCCTCTTTTTAAATTCTTAAAATTATTTTTTAAACCAACTTAAAGTTTCAAGGAAAAATAAAATACAAATTAACAAAAAATAAATAATGACAAGAGAGAAGAAAGAAAAACATACAAAAATGACTTTAAACTTTCTCTAGTACAGGTACACATATACCATAAAGTAACCTTTAAATTGATTAAAATTTTCTTTCATGAAGGATTAAAAGAAAATTCACATGACATTTTCAGATTTGTCAATCAAAAGGTTTCTAATAATTTAAAAGTAATTAACAAACAATTTCCGAATGTAATTAGAAAATGAAATTGGCATACGCAGTGTCCTTTGAAAAGTGCTGATTGC